ATGCCTTTTAAAATAATTTATCAAGAGTATTTTGATTTTTGGTGGGGATTTCAATGTATCCTTAGATCCAGATTTATTAATTTGCTTAACTTAAAGGTTCATAGATCTAAGCAAAAATGTAAATCTAAATACCATTAAAAAAAAAAATCAAAAAAAAAAAAAAAATCAATCAACCGGTTGTAAGCTAAGGTTCTTCGAGATCAGGACCAGTGCATTTATGTAGAGAGGAGTAGATTGCCTAAAGGTCACATGGCCCATACCAGCAATTGTACAGCAGAAGCATTTCATAATGATTACTCCTTTTTATATAATCTTCCCCAATTTGCCTCAGTAGATAATCTGGATGACCTTATCTCATCTTATCTCTCTGATAATGTTAGTACATCTCTTTCGCCAAAGACAGTAGAGTTGCTTGAGAATCTCCCAGACAGCCACTGGAGGCACTTCCTGGCTCCAAACAGACATCAAGCGACAGATTTTTCCCCATAGGAAAGCATTGATTCAATGCTTTCCTATGGGGAGGTCTAATGCATGCGCTGCATTTGCTGCACATGCACGACCGCTCGTTGCAGGATGTCCGAGGAGGCGGAGTAAGGATTTTGAACCCTTTATTTACCGCGGAAGGCTACTCAGACATCTCATAAACGTGTCTAAGGCATTCATACCTCTGAACTGTAGAATGGCATGTCCTCCATCCACTGGGCAATGGTTAAGTAAAAGTGAAGAGATCTGCTCTATGGGAAATATGAGCAAGTGACAGTGTGTATTTGTTTGGGGTTTTTTTAGAATCAACAGATTAACGAGTATTAGGGGTTTCTGACACTCGTCCAGCGTGCTCTCCTAAACCAAAATAGGTTACTTGGTCTGGCACTATGGATCCTACAACGCTGCCTGTTTTGGGTTGCTGGATCTGTACTATTCTATTGACATATCGATTACCCTGGTTTTCCTCGAAAGACTTATTAGACACTTGTCTCCCGGTCCCATTTTGATTCATTTTCTTTCTGTAAATGTGCTGTTTTTACAGCAGACTTGAGCTCCTGTTTTGTCACCTAATGTTTTTGTTTTAAACATTGTTTGACTATTTCTAATGCCTATGCATTAATGTTAACTGTGACTTTAAAACCAAATTCAAGCCATTAAAAATTTAAAAAAATTAATAAAAAAACTATTTAATGCTAAATGGAAGGGCAGTACCAGGAGACTTCAGTCACTAATCACTTCAATGAGATGAAGCAGTTACAGTTTCCTTGGGCAATATTCAGGAAATATTTGCACCAAACTATTGTTTAGTAAGCTCTAATAATCACGATTTCAACATCATCAGTTAATCTCTACTATTTTGATTTTTTGCTTATGTTTCTCATTATGGAGAATCTAAAGACTTGTCTTTACATTGCAGAAGCAGCTTTTGCCAATTTATTACTCACCCATATACAGCAAATCGAAGAGGCCCCACCAAGTCCACCTCCTTCGAGGATTTCTGACGTTTGCGCCTTCTCTCTATACTCTGGGATAGAAGGTTTCCCAGTGCAGACAGAATCCCACTGCAAAGAGTTAGACATTCACTTATTAACACACTGTGAGTAGTCACTTGTACTAGTTACAGAACAATACTATGCACATTTAAAGCCATTTTTTATTTGCGCTTTGACACTACTTTCAGCTAAACTTTGAGGGATATATAAGAAAGTGATCTGAAAAGTGACGATTAAAGGGACTCTATAGTCACCAAAACAACTTTAGCTTAAAGGATATCTTCCCCCTGCGCAAACAGTAAACCTACTGTCAAATTTTTTTTTTGCTCCAGAAGTACCTTTATTAATCTTTGCTTTGATCAGATTTTCTTCCCCTCATGTGATTGCATGTCTTGTCCCCCTTTGCTTTCTCCCTGCTTCCTGTATTTCACAAAGACTTTTCACCAATGGCCATGCTCCAGTGATTTTCTATGACAGGGGTAGGCCATCTTTTAGTAGTATACAATAAAAAATAGGAAAGGTAAAAGCGCACACAGAGCAAGGAGGTCGTTACCTGACGTATTATAGATAACTGGTAAGAAGTAACTCCTCCTTATATACAATAGGTATATACAATGTAAATACAGAAAATACAAACACAAGACAAAACATAGTGTGGTCTGTATATAAAACACAATAAAACGGAAATTATTTTCCTGTATAGGCAACCCTACATTGTATATACCTATTGTATATAAGGAGGAGTTACTTCTTTCCAGTTATCTATAATATGTCAGGTAACGACCTCCTTGCTCTGTGTGCGCTTTTACCTTTCCTATTTTTTATTGTATTCTTTCTAAGTATATATATAGTGGTGATATACTTGGGTATAGCAGCACCATTCATTCACTTTATCCTCTAGCGCCATTTTCTATATATTTTTTGTTATTTCATCTTTTAGTAGTACTGTGCCAAAAAAAAAAAAAACTAGAAATTCCTTGGCATGCCGATGTATTCTGCTTGTGTTAGTTATGGGTGCTGCAGTGGCTTTGTAGTGTTGTATTTGTGCGGCTGTTATATTGTATATGTTCATGAGTAGTTTGTGGTATTGTGTATGATACCCTCAATCTGGGTTGCGTATGGGGGCAGTCTGTGAAATTGTTTGGTATAATATGTTACATTGTGTGTTTGGTAGTTTGTGTATGTGTGGGACTGCCTGTGCTATTGTATGTGAGAGCCTACTTGTGGGGTTGAGTGCATGTATGCAGATTGTCAGAAGTATTGTGTTTGTGTGGAATGTGTGTGGGCTGTTGTGAGGGAGGCTTATTTTGCAGTACTGTGTATATGTAGCAGTGTGGGTTGCTTCCATTGGGCTCAGTGTGGACCGTGCAAACCAGGGGCAGGAGCTGCAATAGCTGATGTTGGCTGCTCTACTCTAGTTATCCGAGATCACTTCCTCTAACTACTGCAATGCGGAAATTAAGGATTGTCCCTCACCACCTGCAATTACAGTTCGGATATCGGATGTCTCACTGAGACTCCTGATAGGACAGAAGCTGTTTGGCTGTGGCAACCTTAAGTGCCATAGGTTGCTGATCCCTGCTCTCTGAGAATCAGTAATCACAATGCCTACCCAAGAAGTACTTAACCTAAGTTACACTATAAATACAGCATTTAGACACTAGAACTTACAAACCAAATTAGGTATCATATAGTGTCATATGTTAATTATAAATAAATATAAAGAGACAAACTCATAAATACCAATAGAGTTTTGTGTTATCTATATCGCTTTCTATCTGATTATTTATATACATATACATATATATATATATATATATATATATATATATATATTTATTTATTAACAGGGACTGGCAGGGAACAGGTTAACAGTGGGTAGTGATTATTCAGATCCACAGTTAAGCCTGTTTTATCATACCTATAAAATGTGCACTTTCCTCATATGATAGAATCAGATTTAACCCATTCTTGACATCACTAATGACACAAGTTGCACCACTGGCAGGTCTCTAGGTCTGTCCTGCTTCCATATCTACCAAAAGTTGGAAGTTATGCTATAGTTAGGGTTGGAGAATAGCCCCCCCACGTTCCCCCAGCTATTTCAAAATTCAGATCTAATTTTGCTACATCCAGGAGTTTGCTGAATAAACACTGAACGGTACTTCTTCACATTTTTGGATTTTATAGCTTAAACTTTCAGCTGTCATTTTTTGTTTTTATTTACCAGACTGGTAAAGCCTGGGTGAGGAATTGCAAAACGCAGTCTCTATAGCACTAGTTAGTGAATTGTTCAAATACCCCAAACAACATTTTTAACTGGGTGAAGAATTGCCAGTCACAATATGTCCACCACCTTCCTTGCCAGCCAGGACTCTCCAACCATGGATCCATCCAGGGCTTTGATCCAATCCCGCAGCGAACACAGGCTAATGAGCGTGGCTATCCTCAAGAATAACACTCACTGACTAACATTCGGCTGTATCAAGAGAATAGAGTTGCGTGGCGGTTGCCGTGGTAACACATTTCTCTATAGCTTTGGATCTCCGGTCTGAGGAAAGGTTAGGGTTACGCTGGGGTCTTGTGTGCTTTGGCGGCTGAAGCTCTGTGATCTTATGTCACCGCGACCGCTGCAGAACTAGAGTCCCGGTAACTGGAACCGGCAGCAGGAGAAGGAGCAGTGACGGCACGGGGACAGCGGCTCATGGTATAAACCCGCCTCTCATTCCTCGCCCCTGTATTGTGATCTCTCACACTTCTGGTACTTGGAAATTGTGCCCTCTCATACTGATGGCAACTAAAAAGGCATTGTGCCCTCTCATAAAGGGGGAAAGGGGAAGGGTGTAATTTTCAGCAGATTTGACCTATTTTTTGGCCGAAATTAGATAGGCTAGTAGTGAGGTTGTCTGATGGGGAAGAAATTAACAGTGGGTAGTGAGGTTGTCTGACAGAGGGGGTCAACAGTGGGTAGTGAATTTGGCTGGCAGGGAAAGGGGTCAACAATGGGTAGAGCGGTTGGACTAGCAGGGAAGGGGTTAACAGTAAGTAGGGATGTTGGCTGACAGGGACAGGCAAGGAATGAGTTAACAGTGGGTAGGGAGATTGGCTAGCAGTGAAGGCATTAACAGTGAGTAGTGAGGTTGTCTGACAGGGAAGGGGTTAACAGTGAGTAGGGAGGTTTGCGGAAAGGGCCTGGGGGAAAATCTATTACTTACATTACATGCAGAGAGGGCTCTAGCTGCAGTGTAATCTGCGCTGTGAGCATTCCTTACAAACAGAGAAGACATGCCTCTATTTTCATTGGCTGCAAAAGGTACTTTTCTTTCAAATGTGAGATGGGGTGGCTAAGGAGGCTGGCTTACACTGCTGAAAACAGTAAAACATTTTACAGCATTGCAGGAAACTACACAGATTTGAAAGAAAATAAACTAACCACAGGTATTTTAAGCTTATTAGCTTTCATTTAAACTTTACTTGTTTAGCTGCCTGGAGTGTCCCTTTAATTAAGTTTTAGTGTATAGATAATGGCCCTGCAGTTTTCCTGCTCAATTCTCTGCCACTTAGGAGTTAAATCACGTTAATCTAAAGTTCTTTTGATAACTATAGTGTCCCTTTAAATGCCATCATAAATTTGATCGTAAGTATTAAAAGGAGTTATAAAAATGTGTTGTTTTTTTAATAGTAGATTTCAATACTGTGACCGAGCTCCAGTGCTCCGACCTAGTACCTTGTAGCTATCCAAGGCTTGACTGGAATCACTGAGGGCCTTGTACACCCTGGACCAGGCTACTAGGATTATAGCCCTGGACACCTTTTCATCAGCAGACCAGACAACACTTGTTAGAGGTTAAAACAACAACAACTCCCTTTAATGAACACAGCACATATACTTATGCCCCAAACACCCTCATTTACATACAATAGAGCACTATAGTACATGGAAGGGTGAGGTCCACACAATCGCAAGGGCTGTCTTCCTTCCCCAGTGATGGCGACTACTGTCACAAATACTTTTTTGCAGAAATTTCCATTTCAAAAGAATGACAAACTTACAGGGAGTTATTTACTAAAAAGTGAGAATGTTATGTGAATTTCAATTTGAAGGACAGAGTAGCTGAAATGAAAGCATAGCTGACGTAAATAGTTTTTCCAGCTCAGCTATTTTGACCTTAAAGGACCATTATAGGCACCCAGACCACTTCAGCTCAATTAAGTGGTCTGGGTGCCAGGTCCCCCAGGTTTTAACCCTGCAGCTGTAAACACTAGGGTTAATCCAGCCTCTAGTGGCTGTCTCACTGACAGCTTCCACGCTTCTCATTGTGAAAATCACAGTGAGAAGACACTTGTAAAATCTGGTTGGAATCGTCACTGTTAAATCTTCTTAATTTCTTCTTGTCTTCAGTTGATTGATATATATACACGTCTTTTTGTATATATAGTCTTGGGCCAAATGCTCTCCACAATAATATATGTCTATATTATTGAAAAGTACTAATACGCAATCTGACTTACGGTTTCTTCAAGTTTATTCTTAGTTACGGATACATAATAAAACAACAAAGGATGTTACCGGATAATGGACATTCAACAGCAGATGGTAATTGCTGGACTTCTTTACATCGAGAGAGAGCCAAGACAGAGAGCGGCCTCGTGTCTCTTTGTTCAGTTACTATATAGAAGTGCCCATACTGACGTTAGAGCATAACTCAAGCCATATAAGGACAAGACCCCCAAATCCACATTCCAGAGCTCTCGGACAAAGAAAGCCTTGTGACTTATACCATCTGTTACTTATGTCAATCCACACATCCATATATAATCAATAGAAACATAGAATATGCAATATTCTACAACACTGGACGTCCATAGGAAAGCATTGAGAAATGCTTTCCTATGGACTGTCTGAATGCGCGCACGGCTCTTGCCGCGCATGCACCATTCAGCGCTGACGTCAGGAGGAGGAGAGTTCCCCAGCGCAGAGGGAGCTCGGCGCTGGAGAAAGGCAAGTGTTTAACCCCTTCAGCCCCCTTGAGCCCAGTGGGAGTGGGACCCTGAGGGCGGGGGGAACCTAAAGACCCTATAGTGCCAGGAAAACGATTTTGTTTTCCTGGCACTATAGTGTACCTTTAAATGTAGAATTCACTTTGAATTTTCATTTCAGTTAATAACCCTGTTTGAGTATCAGGAAAAAGAGTAGGGAAAGGCAACTCTTTACTGTCAGAAAGGTGGCTGAAAATTCATAAACTTTGTGTTGCATATTTAAAAAAAAATGATGGTTAGCTGTGCTGTTCACGATCTGCTTATCTCCATTGTATAAAATTACTCACATATATCCAATAGGAAACAAAACATTAGCAGCTCAAGAATGCAAAAGATTTAAAGGGACACTATAGGTACCCATAGCACTTCATTACATTGAAGTATTATGGGTGCAGTGTAGGGATGCACCGAAATGGAAATTCTAGGCCGAAACCGAAAATTCAGGATGCCCTTGGCCGAAAACTACTTTTTTTTATCCAAATTATTTAAAAATAGTAAGTATATGACTTCAAACAAGCTTGATTGACAGCTCAGTAAGTTCCTGCTGAGGCTGATGCTAGCCAATCCTGCTGAGGCTGTGCCCCCTATAAGACTGCTCTCCATCCAGCCTGTGCCCGGGGCTGTCAGTGGCTCTCAGTCAATGCAGGCGGATCTTACAGTTCTCAAATGTCTGCAGATGGTGCGGCTGAGCACACTGTCCTGTTGCAGAGCTTGTGGTTGTGGCTCCTGCGCAGATCTGTGCGGCCGCAGTCCGTCCTGCAGCAGCCGCCATGGCCCCGTTCTCCTACTCGTCCCCACTGCTGTTCGCCCACTTGTTCTTCCTCCCCTTGCTGTTCTTCACGTTTTGGCATGGCGGGCGGGATCGTCACTGGGTGCAATCAGGTGCTCGGTCTGGCGGCCTCCATGGTGCCCCAGCCACAGTGCTGGGAGAGAGCGAGCGAACAATGAGCGGCCTGGGCGGCCGAGCTCAGCACACACAGGGGGGCCCGCAGACCAGTCACCGTGCTATGTGGCCCCTGCAGCCGCAGCCCGGGGAGCACTGCTATCGAGGTCCCAGCCAGGGTAGAAGGCGTGTCTTGTTTTAAATCCGCTGAAAGCAGCCGCGGACTGGTTCACTCGTAACATCAGCCTCCACGTGCACCAAGACAGACTGCAGGACCGTACGTGTAATTTTCAGCAGATTTGACCCATTTTCGGCCCAAAATTTCAGCAACCACGTAAAACACTGCAGACCTTAAAGTGCCATTGTCATGGCTGCATCCATTTTTCTTTTTTAATCTCTCTCCTGAATCCTCTACACCTGGTCTCTCCAATTAGCCCCAAAATGTATCTAGGTCCACCATTTCATCTTTTTATTTATTTTTTTAAATTTATTTCTTCTCCAGATCTATTTCCAAGTGTCGTCAACTTATTGTTCCTGGAAATAATGTTTACTGTATCTTCTTCATCTGCCCACACTACCTTGCGCTGCCAAATTCCCACTATACAGGACATTCGGAAAGGGTGAAAGGATTCAATGCGAGAATACAGAGGAAATGTGAGTATTCTGGGAAAGATTTCCTAGACACAACAAGTGTAGTTTACTTAAGATGCACACAGAGTCTAAGAAAAGCAAGTGTAGGAAAAAGTTAGTTAGAAGTAGGAAAAAATAAAAATAAAAAAAGGGAAAAAGAAAAAGGAGTAGGAAAGAAAAAGGGAAGAGAAGGCACTTGGGAAAAGGAACGTACAGCACGTCAGTGGCGCTTTAAAAGGGACACTTCAGTGCCAGGAAAACAATCCGTTTTCCTGGCACTGCAGGTCCCCTCTTCCTCCCACCTCCCAATCCCCGGTTGCTGAAGGAGTGAAAACCCCTCAGTCACTTACCTGAGGCCCACGCTGATGTCCCTCGGCGGTGGTTTCGGGTTGCCACCGCTCCTCCTCATTACGTCGGCTGGTGGGCGAGACTGATCCTGGCCGTGGAGACCTAATGCGCATGCGCGGCAATGCGGGCATGTGCATTAGAGCTCTCCATAGGAAAGCATTAAAAATGCTTTTCAATGCTTTCCTATGGGGAATTGAGCAACGCTGGAGGTCCTCACATAGCGTGAGGACGTCCAGCGACATTGTAGCACAGGTTTTCTGTGCTATGGACCAAGAAGAGTTAACCCTGCAAGGTAATTATTGCAGTTTATAAAAAACTGCAATAATTACACTTGCAGGGTTAAGGGTAGTGGGAGTTGGCACCCAGACCACTCCAATGGGTAGAAGTGGTCTGGGTGCCTTGAGTGTCCCTTTAAGGGCCATCTCACTGTCTACCATGTAGTATTAGAAAAATGTTCCAATACTACTTTTTGCAAAAAACAAACCCACAACGCACATTCCCAAGTTTTAGAACTGGTAAAGATATGCCTTAAAATAATTGTTTATTCTTTGGTGATTTGTTTTTGTCTCAGTTATATGTAGAGATGTCGCGAACCGTTCGCGAACTTCCCGCGAACGGCTCGCCACAAACCGTTCTCGGCGAGCTCCGGTCAGCTGACACATCCCGGCCAATCTCCAGCAGACTTCAACATGGATGCTGTCCAGGAGGTGGGAGGGTGTGGGAGGGAGGGTGGGTCTGCTGGAGATTGGCCGGGATGTGTCAGCTGACCGGAGCTCGCCACGAACCGTAGCGAGCTGTTCGCGGGAAGTTCGCGAACGGTTCGCGACATCTCTAGTTATATATTTGTAACTTCTCTCCAAATATCTGTTCTTCTAAATGAATTCAAGTGGATTTAATTTGTAATGCGCTCCACATTACAAAAAGGTTTTGCTTCACATAAATTCCTTAAATCTTCCACTTGGAGTTTTGTCTTCATGGACACCATGGCAACACACTTTTGTACAGTCTCGTCTTTCAACAGGAAAACATGCTTTGTCAAACCAAATTTGCATGCATTTGTTGCAGTGAAGCCCACCACCCCACCCCCATTGAACAAGCAAGCTATTCAACATGGACAGTACGGACTTTGCCAAGTGGACTCTAACCCTAGATTTTAGCTGTAGTAAAAAAGTAACTTTTTGCAATGGAATGTATGCAAATCCTTCTTTTTAGTAGGTAATTATTCCAACTACCCCATAAAGGCATACCATTTCTTAAAGAAGACACCCTAGGGTATTTCAAAAGTCATATTTTGAACCTTAGCGTGAAATCATATTTCCTCTAGCTTGTACCAAGTGTAGTTAGATAAGCATTTTTTCTGCCTTTTTAAACACAAAGTGAGTTTGTACTGTATATTTTGCAAACCTTATGTGTGCTACGGCTATATAATACTTCCTATCTTGCTCAGCTATGTCATCTGAGCACAGCAATACCCCCATATGTACCTTTGCCAGGTATATGTGGGCATTGAAGGGGCACATTTGAATCACAGCCATTTAAGTTTTTTCAAACTTTGAATTTTTACACTGTGTCCATACCCCACTTTGGAGTTTTAGGTTGATTATTCCAACTACTCTACAAAGGCATACCATTTCTTAAAGAAGAAACACGAGGATATTTCAAATGGTATATTTTGAACCTTAGCGTGAAGTCATTTCTCTGCTAGCTTGTACCAAGTGTAGTGGTAATAAGCATTTTTTATGCCTTTTTGACACACACAATGAGTTTGTAATATATATTTTGCAAACCTTATGTGTGCTACAGCAGTATAATACATCATATTGTTGCTCAGCTATGTCATCTGAGTACAACAATACCCCCGTATGTTTTTACTGTGCCCCACTTTGGACTTTTTTTTTTTTTTTAAGTAGGTTGTGTTTTCCCAATTACTTCACAAAGGCATACCATTTCCTAAAAAAAATACGGGGGTATACGCTGTAGAACATGTGATCGCTCGGACTCAGAGCGATGACATAGGCTGAATCAGTGAAACTGTTTTCCGTCCAGCGTCCTTAAGGGGTTAAACACTGGAGGGTCAACTTGGCCTTGTGCTTAGAGTCATTGCCATGCTGGAAAGTCCAAGAGCATCCCATGCGCAGCCTTCATGCAGAAGAATGCAAATTATCTGCAAGTATTTCCTGATAACATGCTGCATTGATTTTGCCATTAATTTTCACAAGATTCCATGTGCCTTTAGAGCTCACACCCCTCCCAAAACATCAGTGAGCCACCACCATGCTTCACAGTGGAGATGGTATTCTTTTCACTATAGGCTTTGTTGATCCGGCCCCAAACATAGCGCTTATGGTTGTGACCATAAAGCTATATTTTGGTCTTGTCACTCCAAACTACAGTGTGACAGAAGCTGGGAGGCGTGTGAAGGTGTTGTCGGTCATATTGTACCCAGGCTTTTTTTTGGCATTGGCACAGTAAAGGCTTCTTTCTGGCAACTTGACCATGCAGTATTGTGGTATTGTACTCCTTGAAACAACCACACGTCTTTTGTCCAGAGCAGCCTGTATGTCTCTTGAGGTTATCTGTGGGTTTTTCTTTGTATCTCGAACAAGTCTTCTGCCAGTTGTGGCTGAAATCTTTCTTGATCTACCTGACCTTTGCTTGGTATCAAGAGATCCCTGAATTTTCCACTTCTTAATAAGCGATTGAACAGTACTGACTGGCATTTTCAAGGCTTTAGATATCTTTTTATACCCTTTTCCATATTTATAAAGTTCCATTACCTTGTTACGCAGGTCTTTTGACAGTTATTTTCTGCTCCCCATGGCTCAGTACATCCACGTTAGAGCTAACAATCTCATTGACTATACACAGACACCAATTGCAATTTAAAGAGCCACAGGTGTGGAAAATTAACCTTTAATGGCTCATTTATATTTTCAAAACGAATGCTAAAATGTTACAACTTCTCCCAGGGCATGCAAACTTTTAAACACAACTCATTACTTTCAGCCATGTTTTCGTCCAAAAGAGAAGAAATGAAAAAAAATACAAAATAAAAAAAATAAAAAAATGCTCCAACTATTTTTCAAGAATTTCCCCCTGAAAATAAATCATTCCAGTGGTTACACTGCATGCTCTCTAAAAGAGGTATCTCCGGACACCCTGTCAGATACTACAGGCATTAAAACAAGACTTTATGAAACCAGAATACTAAAGCATGTTAACATGCCTTAGAGTGGCCGGACTTAACGCTATATAGAATATTAAAAGACAAACCAAGATCAGAGAGACGGAGACTAACAAATGAGTAGACAAGCCAAAGGTCAAGGACAACAGAATAAAGAATAATCAGAATACAAGACAGTGACAGACAGCGTACATACAACTACCGAAACCGCTGTTTTGGATAACCACAACAGGGCACAATATTAGAGCACTAGGAGGGCATTGATTGGCTAGTTGTGGTCATTTGATGCCAGAATATGCATGCGCGTCATCATTCAAGGCAGAGCCATATAATGGTTCCTATGAGCAGTGGCTGGGATCAGCTAGGATGCTGGAGGAGAGAGCGGCTACAGAGAAGGCAGACAAAAGGTGACCTTACACTGGAATGAAACATACAGTAGAGTGCCTGGCAGGCATTGTGACAACAGTTTTGGTGTATAGATCATATCCCTGCAGTCTCCTTGCTCAATTCTCTGTCAAAATCACTTTGTCTCTGTTGATGCGTCCCTAGCCACGCTTCCACTGGCTGTGACTGAAAAATAATTGTTTCATTTTCAACCATGTTAAATTAGAGGTTTTTACCTACTGCTCTGATAATTTAACTTTAGTCACACACATGAGGTTCCTGCAAAGTCTAGCAAGCCATTAACAGAGCAGGAGTTACAAAAAAATAAAAAGTCCACAAACCAAACAAAATTGAATTTAAGCCTAATGTGCAATAAAGGAAGTTTAAACATTAGATCTCTCTTTACAGGAAGTGTTTAGGAAAGCTGTGTAAGTCACATGCAAGGAGGCATGACTAAAGCTGCTTAAACAAATTATTATTTTATTAAATTCCATAGCACTGTACAAATGCGATTTAACAAAAAAAAAAAAAAGAAAAGGCAGATAATTAAACAGTGAGGCTGCAGGGTAGTGATCTATACACTAAAACTGCTTCGTTCAGCTAAGGTTGTTCAGGTGAGTATAGTGTCCCTTTAATGCTGCTCGGAGGATGAGCGCTGTGTGTGTGTGTTCCCTGCGGTTACCTGGTCACTGATTTGGTGACTATCGGCCGCTCCCGCAGTAGCCGCAGGTAGGTCCGCAGTAGCAGTGCAGGTAGCGGCTCCGCCCGCCGCTCAGACACAACTTTAGAAGCCACGGTCATGTTCCCAGCTCTCACACTGACAGGTGCTCGCACCGCGCTCCTCCTACAGGTTGGCCGCAACGCCCCCACGAAGTGACGTCATTTACATGGGACGGTCGCATAGCTCCGGCCTCCTGTCAATCTGCGCCTTAACACGAGCGCCGATTCCTTGTCCGTGTCGCTGACAGGCTCTGCCACGTGACCGGCTATTAACCCTCGCAGCTTCCATTAAAGTTTATCTGACTGTCTCTACTGTGTCAGAGGGCGAACACGGTGAAGGGGAGGGTGCTGGGCGGGGCTTGGAACTCTCCTGCGGATGGCGGGCATTGATTGGCTGTAGGGCAGGCTGTAGGGCAGGCTGTGGGCGGGTGGTGGCGGGAGTCTGTTGGCGCGGAAATCGTACAGTCCGGGCAGTCATGGTGCTGCAGAATAGCGGCCGACTGAAGGCGGGAGACCGGGGGGACCGGGACAACCAGCAGTAAGTGGCCGCTCTCACACACGGGGTGAAAGAGAGTGAGTAGGGCAGGAATAGCTGGACTCGGGCACCCCAGCTGTTATGTGTTACTTATACACGCCTTGTATTATGGGAAATGTAGTCCAGTAACAGCTGAAGTGCCCTAGTGTTAGCGGTTCTGATCTCTACCCACTGTTGTTGGTGCTAATGCTAGAGAGTTCATCATGCTCGTGGTTAAATGTGGTTAGTGGGGTTTAGTAAACAAACCTTGATTTTTAGATAAATGAGATCCCGAGGGCAAAATTGGGCTAAAACAGCAGATTTGGAAAATATCCATCTCAAACAACAATCCGGCACCAAAATGAAGTTGTTATGGTGCTAAACCCCCTCCCGCCGGCTCAACCACTCACAAATGGAATAAAGGATCACTATAGTGTCAGAAAAACAAACAAGTTTTCCTGACACTATATAATCCTTGGGTGTCCCCCTCCCGTGGTGCTGAAGGGGTTAAAAGACTTTCAGCCACTTTCCTTAATCCAGCGCCAAGCTCCCTGGGCGCTGGTGACCTCTTCTCCCCCACCAGCTCCTGAGTGGAGTTGAATGTGCATGCGCGGCAAGAGCCACGCTTGCCTTCTAACAGTCCATTGGAAAGCATTTCTCAATGCTTTCCTATGGACGTTCTGCACGCTGGATGCGAATTTCACATCCAGCGTTGCAGAAGCGCCTCTAGCGGCTCTGAAACTGTTTACATCTGCAGGGTTAAAACCTGGGGGACCTGGCACCCAGGCCACTTAATTGAGCTTAAGTGATCAGGGTCACTATAGTGTCCCTTTAACCCCAAAGACTATAGTGTCCCTTTAACCCCAACCTCCAGCGCTGGATCTCTCTGCCCTCGTTCTTTCTATTTGATAAAGCTTTAAATACAGTTTGAACACCGTCTGTGTTCCAGCGCTATCTCGCTCTGCCACCTAAAACAGATTGTCTGCTGTGGGCAGCGCGCTACTGATTGGCTTAGATGGGTCAGGTCACGCTAACGGTAAATAAGTGGCTTCACATTTACAAAACGTAAGTTTTATGTTTTTTTTTTTTTTCTCTCTGTTTCTGTGCATGGTGCTCCTGTCGTCTCGTGCGCATTACTTTGATCTGAGGTCTGAGAAGGTCTGCAGAGGTGGAACCAGGGGCGCTCGAGAATTCTAGTTAAATGTATAGGTGCTCCGTAGGCGCCATAACCACTTTAACTAGACAAGGGTGTTGAGACCCACATTAATGTTAAGTCGTTTACTCACTGTTTAGCAGAGATGTTAGGTCCTCTGCAGCTGTACCTCCAATGACAAAATGGCGGAGGTGGAGCTATGCTCCACTTCACACCATACCAGGGATAATGAGCAGTGAGAGGCTGCCTGATCCCTTGTATGAATTGGTGAAGCAGAAGGATCGCTCAATTTCTCCCATATTGTAATTGGAGGGGTCCCAAAGACTGCAGGCACCATAACCATTTTAATAGGTTGACGTAGTTATGTATGTACAGTGTTCCTTTAAGAAGTTTATGTACTCATTACATCATCCTCGAAAGCCTTGTGAATCATCCAAATATTTTTCCATGGAGGAATGTTCAGGCTTAAAGGACCACTATAGTGCTAGGAAAACAAACTCGTTTTCCTGGCACTATAGTGCCCTAATGGTGCCCCTACCCTCATACCCCCCTCCCGCCAGGCTCTAGGTGGAGGAAGGGGTTAAAATCTTACCTTTCTCCATCTCTCTC